AAATACTAGAAATGCAGCAAATACTTGTCTGATGACAAGGCAGTAAGTACTCAATGGGGGATTCCTTTTCCAGGTGACCTTTGCAAAAAGAAACCATCACAGTGTGTGCGGAGGAACCTCCCCACACTCCAAAAAACACCCCAAAGGATCAGTGTTTATACCACTCTAAGGAAAAAAAGAGGGAAAAGGAAACAAGAAAATATGCCATAAAGTAAGAGAAATACTTGTCTGATGACAAGGCAGTAAGTACTCAATGGGGGATTCCTTTTCCAGGTGACCTTTGCAAAAAGAAACCATCACAGTGTGTGCGGAGGAACCTCCCCACACTCCAAAAAACACCCCAAAGGATCAGTGTTTATACCACTCTAAGGAAAAAAAGAGGGAAAAGGAAACAAGAAAATATGCCATAAAGTAAGAGCTCTAATAGAGACACACATTAGAACTGTCCCAGCAGTACAACACGAAGATGTCCTGACAGCAAGGACAGCCAAGTGGGAATATTCTGCTCCAGGCAGAATGTTTGCATCTTTGTACTGCTAAATTCAAACAGTCTGTGCAGATATGACAGCACTAACTTCACAAAGAAGGTAGAAATCAAACGGGTTTGCTGTTCCAAAATGCATGAACTGAAGTAGAAACAGCCTCTGAGTCATCTGCCATGTTCCAGAGGCCTGTGAGGCACATGCAGCCACATCACAGTGGGTTTGATTTAGTGACCAAGGCACTGAAATTGCACTAAAAGCTAATGAAGCCAACCATAAAAATCAAATGATGTCTAGGCTGAGTCCAAAGTCTGTGGAGATCAAGAGAAAGAACGACAATAAACCCAACCAAACGAGAAATAGATGTAGTTGGGGTACCATTTTAACAGTGATAGATGCTTCTGTTTGGACATATATTCACACCTGTGGCAGCTAAACAGGTTTCTAACAAACCTGCAGCAGCAATCCCCGTTGTGTGGAGCCCTGTTGAACAAAGCACTCTGCAGCACCCCTGACCTTTATGGTTAAATATGATGATGTGGCTCCATCTGTCTCACTGCTTCGCTTTAGCCCGAGACAATATTTGCTTTGCCTTTAACCACTCTGGATGTGCACATTGTGGGGAGCTCTTGGCAGAAGGATGAGGGAGGCTGGGAATCAAATGAAAAATACAACTGCATTCAGAACTCTCTCTCTGCTTTAACCTCTCCTTTTTGCTGGAAATGAAAAGAAAACCTTTGACTGTGCACACTCAGGGAGTTAGTGGAGAGCAGGAAGGATAAACTGAGAAGCCTAAGGATCATCTGCAGGACAATTTGAGGAGATTTTGAACTTGCACCAAACTGTCAACACATTTATCATCTTCAGAATGCACATAAATGCAATTTTTTTTAGGAGGAAATTAAAGTTTGAAGAAAGTCATTAGCAAAAATGGGATTTATTGCAAAGAAGCGCTAAAAATCCTGACCCTGGTGTGACAGCAGAGCACAGCCCCCAGTACAGAACTCCCATCACAGCCTGGGTGCACCGTGGTGAGCCCTTCTCTCCAGTGCCACAACCCAACTGGTGCCTAAGCACCACAGGCACGTCCAGCTCTGAGCAGGAGGTTGTGCTCAACGACCTCCTGAGGATCCTTATGGCTTAACTACCCAGTAATTCTGTCGTGACACTAGTAGGACTGGGCCCCTTCTGCTTGGAAACCGAGAAGATGAAGCCCCAGTTTGACTAATAATTTAATCTAAAGTCTACAAGTCCAGATTACTGTTTATGGCATGTAATTAAACCTGCTTCAATAATGGACAGGTAGGAAAACCACCACCTGTGTGGTGTCTTTCAAATACTGCCTCCACTACAGGGAATTCAATCCATGCCTCTGGAATGAGCAGTAGTTCCACTAAAGATGATAAAATACTTCTGGATTTGGACATTGAGGTCTTAGCAGCCATAGCTGCCTCATCCATTATTTTGACTATTGTGGTTCCCTGTTCATTTAATGGTTTGTCTTCATTGGCAACTCTTTAACACCACAGGTCAGTGAAATGTTCAGGAAACAGAGATTTTTGTGTGGCTTCAGGGCCATGAGCCTGAAACCCTGATGAGAGATCTGATTGAGTCAGCACTCTTTGGAGCAATGAATGAGTAGTTGGAAGAAAGTAATTTTACCCTTTCTAACTCCAACTGCAATCATACCAAAAGTCTTGCTTCAAACTAGGGAAAATCAAAATGTCAGTGTGCATTAGGAGCATTTGGGGTGATTCTCTACAGCCCCTTATAGGGCTTTTTTTAATTAGCCAATTAAAGGTTTTCTGAAGCAGTTACAGCCTTTACACACTATTCACGATCCCTTACTCATGGCTTTGGGGTCAGTAACTAGCAGAGAAACAAACTTCCTGCTTTATTTGAACAAGCATGAGTGATGGACTGATAGGTTCAGGAAATTTTCTTTGCAGTTCTCTCAGCTGAAGACTAAATATACTATTGTTCCGATGCTTTATGGGATTCTGTGCCTGCATCTGATTTTATGCCTGAAAATGTACATTGCCTTGCAGTCAGGCATTGCACAAATGACTTAATGAACAACCTGCTACCTTTCTCCCAGGCAGCAAACCATGCCAGCTCCCCAAAGCCAGGCAGCTCGTGGGACAAGCTGCTCCCACTACACATCTGCAGAGTTCCCTTTGGGCCTGCAATGAATTGTCCCTATTCACTGTGTTTCTTGGAAGGTCTTCCAAAAAAGCACAACAATTATCTCTGTCAGCTTTTATCAGTAGATGACAGACTTCTCTGGAAAACAGACAAGGTTTTTGAGAGGCACCCCAAGAACAAAGCAGAGAGCGATGAATACTTTCCAGCAGAACAGACACCACTCTGGGATGTGGAAACCTTACGGGCAGGGAATGCTTCCTCAGAGCCTCTGCTGCTCTTTACAGGACCAATTCAGCTGGAAAGTTGTTCTGCCCCATGTCACTGCAAGGCTGCTCAGCATCTGCTCCTA